CAACAGGCAGCACTTGCCCGCACACTAGAGACCCTATCGATCGATATTTGCTGTTTATCAGAAACCCGCCTGCAAGATTCGAGCTCCGTGCTTACCCTGAGATCCCCCACATGCGACACTGGCGGCACATTCTCATTGCGCCTATCTGGCGATGATGCAGCTTCAAATGCCGGTCAAGCCGGCGTCGGCATTGTTTTGAGTCCCCGGGCTGAAGCTGCCCTACTTGATTGGATCCCAGTAAACAGTAGGATGTGCGCCGTTAGATTAGCTGGTTCGTTCCGTGCTTCGAAGTCGCGCGGGGACAAACGGTGCCTGTTTGTCATTGCGGCCTACGCCCCTACAAACTGTAGCACTGATTCGGTAAAAGATGATTTCTACCAGCAACTTCACGAGCTCCTTCGTTACAGAAGAAGCACGGATACTGTGGTGCTGGCTGGCGATCTAAACGCCCAAGTCGGAAAATTGTCCTCTGATGAGCTTCATCTGGGCGGCCAACATGGTGTAGGCTCCCGTAATGATAATGGTGAGCGATTGCTCCAGCTGTGTGAAGATGCTCGCCTGTTTCTCGCGAGCACTAATTTTCGACACAGCACCCGCAGAAGTGTGACTTGGCGGCCACCAGCCTCGGGCCAGTCATGGACGCAAATCGATCATATCGCGATCAGTTACCGCTGGAGAGGCTGTGTCCAAAACTGTCGCTCGATTTGGAGCACGAGCGTGGACTCTGACCACGCACTTGTCTGTGCCGACCTCCTGATGCGCTTCGGTGGACGTCCGCAACGTCGATGTGAACGGATTGACACTAGCCAGCTGGCGAAGCCAGATGTTCTGAATGTGTACCAAGATGCGCTGACATCTGGACTGAGTAAGCGCCCACTAAACACCGTTGAAGATCACTGGTCGCACACTCGTCAAGCGTTGCTATTAGCAGGCATGTCTTCATGTGGCAAAACAAATTGCCAAACCGGACATTGGGTCTCTACACAGTCTCTGGAACTTATGGATGCTCGCCGACGTATTCCGGCTGGAAGCGAATACAATGAATCTCGCAAAAATCTCAGGGCGAAACTACGTGCTAGCCTAAAGAAGGACCGCGAAACCTGGTGGTCTCATCGTGCATCTGAGATGGAAACAGCCGCTGCCATTGGTAATCATCGTAAGTTATACCGTCTGATACGGGCAACAGGCAGCAGGAGACCTGGTGTTAGCGAGACCATACGCGACGAGAGTGGGCAGATGATCCACAGCCTGTCAAAACGCTTGGAGCGTTGGGCTGAACACTTTGCTATGCAATTTAACCAACCTGAGTTATCACTTTCTTCGGGCATTGAACGCCCTTCTCCTTGGGCCGTCTCCCTGGATCCGCCCTCACGCGCTGAAGTCGAACGTGAGATCAGGCTGTTGAAATTGCATAAGGCCGCAGGGGCAGATACTATTCCTCCAGCCCTCTTCAAGTTCGGTGGACCTGCTCTAATAGGTGATCTACACGAGTTGCTAGTAAAACTTTGGGAGCAGGAGACAGTCCCGACAGACTGGAACCGCTCCGTCATTGTCCCAATTTTCAAGGGAGGCTCCCGTTTGGTATGTGGTAATCATAGAGGGATCAGTCTGATTTCGATTGCCTCTAAATTGCTTGCCTCTCTCATTCTCCACAGACTGACTGGCACTCGTGAAAGCCAAATTCGTGAAGAGCAAGCCGGATTTCGTCGAGGTCGGGGCTGCATCGACCACATCTTCACATTGCGTCAAGTGTTGGAGCACCGCCATGTTTATTGGCGACCCACCGTTGTCGTGTTTCTTGACATAAAAGGTGCCTTCGACTCAGTCGATCGATGTGCCCTTTGGGACTGTCTGTTGAGGAAAGGTGTGCCTGATAAATATGTAAACATTATCAAAGCGCTGTACGCACATAGTTCGGGCAGGGTGAGGGTTTATGGCAAACTCTCGCCACCCTTCAGTATCACCAGCGGTGTGAGACAAGGATGCCCGCTGTCACCTTTCCTCTTCAACTTCGCTATTGATGAAGTCATGGAAACAGCGTTCGCTGGACACGACCTAGAAGGTGTGGAGCTACTCCCTGGTGAGCGACTTCTTGACTTGGAGTATGCAGACGATATTGCCCTAATCTGTGACGGCTCCCAAACATGCCAAACAGCACTGAACCGATTAGCACTGGCTGTCAGTCGTTTTGGGCTATGCTTTGCTCCATCAAAATGCAAAGTACTTCTCCAAGATTGGCAGGGACCCAATCCTGCGCTAACGCTTGGTGGTGATCTGCTAGAAGTCGTTCAGGAATTCAAGTACCTGGGCAGCTATATTAGCACCCGTGGGATTGAAGATGAGGTTACGAACCGTATAGCAAAAGCTCGAGGTGCTTTTGCCAATCTCCGCCACCTGTGGCGCAGACGCGACATTACTCTCGCCCTCAAGGGCAGAGTTTACAACGCAGCCGTCCGTTCAACTCTCCTATATGGCTGTGAAACCTGGCCCATCAGGTCGACAGACATGAAGAGACTCGTCACGTTCGATCATCGCTGCCTTCGCAGCTTAGCTCATGTCTGGTGGGAACACCGCGTGAGCAATGAGCGTGTTCGACGTCGCGTATTTGGTGCAGGAAGAGCGAGTGAACCGCTCAGCACGATTATATCACGCACCAGGCTCCGATGGCTGGGCCACGTCTTGCGCATGCCAGCACACCGACTCCCACGACGTGCATTGTTTGCGCGTTGTGGGTGCGGTTGGAAGAGGAGGAGGGGAGGCCAAGTGATGACTTGGTCGCGAGAAATGAAAACCCTCACTTCGAAGTTGGCGTCGGTTGGTGCATCCCGACTGCCTGGCTGGGGTCCTAAGGACGGTGAACACGTTTGGCTGGACACACTTGCTGATATGGCTAGGAGCCGGCCCCAATGGCGTTTGTGTTGTGAGTTCCTTTGTCCATCCCCCTCCTGCTTAGCATCCCCCTCCAATCACGATCTCAATCGTTAGGCATAATATGACTTTCTTTTACGGCAGCCAGCTGTTAGCTCTCCGGAACGATGTCCATCCGTTACTGGGGACTCAGCGGGCGTGCCACTGTTTGTTGTTGTTGTTGTTGTTTTTCTTCTTTTCTTGCCTTTTGTATTGCGGCACAATAGCTGAGGTGTTTTCCACCTCCAGCTAACGTGTAACGATGATGATGATGACGAGACAGTTGGTCGTTGCTGAAGGGGACGGGGTGCACGGTTCTTGTGGCCGTGTTAGGATCAAAGAGTGGTTCCATGCGCTCAGTGTGGAGCGGACTACGGTCCAGCCACCGCCTTGTGTGCGCTTGATTCCCAAATACAACGTGCTTGTGTTTGCCTATGAGGGAGTGTGGGCCGGCTCTGTTGATGAAACGTGGCTCCCATCCACATGCCTCCCGGTCTTATTCCTTCGGGTTTACACTGGATATGGGGTGTTTGGATGGAGCTGTGGGTGGTGCAGCGCAAGCCATCCACGGTCCCTCTGTAGGCGCAGGCGTCTTGTGGCTGGTCACAGTGACAGGCAAATCCGAAACCGGATACCGCCAACCATATATATTTCAGTACTTGACCAATAAACATTTGGCAGAGTGCCACAACACATGGGTCACAACAAAACGCAGAGAAGAAGCAGTCAAAGGAAGCAATATGAACTTTCATGTGTTGTGTGGGCAGAAAGCTTCCCGGTTATCCAAGCCGTGGAAAATGTTTACTCTCTTTTTGTATTGCGACACATTAACAGGTGTATCTCGTACTCGACTAACGTGTATTGGTGATGATAGTGATGAGAGTAGACTGAGGCGAGAGAAGGCCAAGAGATTGCGCTCGCAGTCCCTAGCAGTCGTGCTCCGAGGAGTTGCGAAACATCCACCAGCACTTGTAACCAATTAGTAACACCGATCACCGTGTCGCTTGTCCGATTATCGCTGGATTGCATTGATGAAACTGCCCATAGCGGTGTTGAGTTGCGGGTCTCTGAGCGTACTAGACTAAAGCGAAAGATAGCCACGAACTTTCAAGTCTTATGCCAAACTCGTAGCTACAAGTGTCCCAGAATCGGATAGAGAACGAGAAATGCCGTCGCCACTTTCCAAGTCGATTAATGGTTGTGCGGATATAACCACCTTATACACCGCTTCTTGTCAGTCGCTGTTGGCCATCGTGGCTGACGCGGAAATAGTAATTTCTGTTGACGCATTGTATTCCCATCCACTTGACGCGGAGACACGTGCCCCTGTGTCCGTTAGTCCTTAGCGAAAGAGCATTATAGCTTTCTGTAAATCATCTGCCATTTTAGAAGACACACGAAACGATAAAGCTCCAAAATTAAAGTAGTTAATTCAGCGTCTCCTGAGAAGATACAGACATTGTCACCACCAGCGGTAAAGCCAACTGGTATTAGTTGAGCATCGAAAACCCGCGGTGTAAATGCACTCCGTCGTGGTGATTCCTACGTAGATAGTAGCTTTGTATTCCGTAGCATGGTGAAATCCAGGGTTGTCCTTTCTACTTAGCGTATGTTGGTTGACGTTCACTGCTTTACGTTGCATGTGACAAAATTTCTTCCACCGGGTTTTCTCTGTGTTACTGTTAGGAAAGTGACGAGACTTGGCGCCGTCCCAGTTGGCGCATCAAATGCTCGATTTCGCTTTATGCTCAGAGGCGTGGTTATATCCTTATTTACTATCTACATCCATGGCGTCGATTACTATACCTTTTATATGAAACAACAGCGAAACCCAATGGCTGAGAACCTCTCGCAAGCCCACTGATCGATATTTTTGACCATGAAGGCACGACGTCGGGATTTGCTCAACCACGTCTGCCAGTTATGCGGCTGCAAGTTCTCATCCTTCTTCATCATACTGTAATTTTTCACACTCATTTTCCTGATAGTTCTACCACATTTTTATCATGTCATATCAGGGCAAAATGTTTCTGTACTTCTTTGGTTACTTACGATCGATTCAATTTTCAAGTACTTTCTACTCTCCATTTAAGAACATGACGAATATTAGTCAGGTCAGCGCAGCAATGCAACTTCTCCGAAGCACCTTTCCAGACTTGGACGAAGATGTTTCGGAGTACATCGAAAGTAAGCGCTTCTAATCACACATTTCATGTTCAGACGTATTACTGGCAAATTATGGACATTTTGATTCTGCGCGCGACCTTCACGATGCCGTTGGAGGTTTGCTGAACGGTTTTAGTGTCGGCGTAGGCGAGAGTAAGATCGACGCATTGTGCACACAATTGTTTGGTCTCATCAGTCCGTGAGTTGTTTACTTAGTTCACTCACTTGTTTTCAGGTCGGAACTAAGAAACGATGAAGTCACACTTGATGCCCCAGTACACATGGCCAATTTGCTGGATAATTTCAGCGATAAAGTGATCGATAACAAAAGCATTTGGATGGCGAAACGCGAAACCTATTCAGTTGTTGACCCGAAGAAGTTGGGGAAGGCTGAAGCGAAATTAAAGGAAAAACAGGCGAAAAAGTCAATGTGTGCTAAAACGGATTCGTATTCCTTAAGGTAAAGAAAGTAATTCGACGTTATACTTGCCACGTAGTTCAACAAAACGGGAACAAACCAGTGATGATTTTGCATCGGTTAACCAACAGATTGACCGAAAGGATCTCGCTGCGTCTGCGGTTCCATTTGGGCGACACAGTGGTGATATTCGTTTCGAAAACTTTGATATTTCCTACGGCAGCAGGTATTTTGCTCATGCGCCTCTTTAATCAGTGCTTTTTGAGTAGGTAATATTTAGGTTTGTTGAGTCTGTTTTTCATGCATCGGCATTTTTGAGCGATGGTCGCTGCTCACCGATTTCTCTACGATGCCTGTCTTTGTGGTCGCCTACCAAACCGGTCTCACTGGACTTGCTTATTAATCACCATGTAGCAAGTGTTCGACTCACACTAACAGACTTGGAGGATCCGTCTGGCCATCGACAAGTACCGTTCCCAACACTTGGAGAAGGCTGATAAGTGACAGGATGAAGATGTGTTGTTAGAGTGTACAGTGGTCCCGCCTATAGGCTAATGATACGGCACCGAACGACGCGTAGTTAGTGATGTGAGGAGCCGCGCGATTGAGCGGCGTGTTGCATACAACCGTGGCGCCGTGTGTATATCGGTATGTGTTGGGTTAGACAAACAAATTCAATATACATTTTGGCATTCTGTAAACAACATTTGAGCACACAACAAAGTGACAATCTTAGTATTTTGCACAACATACTCAAATAAATCTGGGGGAATCTTCACACCACTACACGCAACCCATGTCTTGTGACAGCTGTTTAAGCTGTGCCCATATGGCAGTATTCCGCTTACCTGCACTTGCTAGCCGCATTTCAATAGTAATGCGAAATGCTGTTAGTTACCTCATTGTTCTTCCTCTTCCTATTCTGGAATCGCCCACCAAGCAATTGCACTTGTTCTACCACAATCCCCGGCTTTTTGTTTCCTCTCGGAATTAGAGTGCTAATACAAGGCGCCAACTTGGTAGTTTCCTATGGAAGAAGATACGGTTTGGTCGGACGAAATGGGTTTGGCAAGACCACACTCCTTCGTGCCATCGCTCGGTGAGTGTGCCATGTCATTACTAGCAGTGCATTCATATGTGTATACTCTTCAGCTGTAGATCCATTATAACTTCCCTTATAAATGCTGTTTCAATGCTTTATGATGTATTATGTTTTCAGCCGATGGTCCCGGTCAATTGAATTATTTATGTTTGCGCTGCCCCGTTAGGCGCGACTTGCAGTTACCCCAAAGTCTGAAAGTACTGCATGTGGAACAAGAGATGACCGGTGATTCCACCCCTGCTCTGGAGAGCGTGTTACGTGCCGATACAGAGAGAGCCAATTTGCTGGCGCAACTCGCAGACATTCGGTCTTCTGCCAACGGAGTCGAGGCTTTCGACGGTTCTGTGAGTGTGACTGAAGTGGACCATTCCGCGGATCGCCTCACTCAGATTTACAATCGCCTGGCAGCTACCGAGGCAGACAAAGCCCCAGCACGTGCTGCAATTATCTTACGTGGGCTTGGCTTTGATCCAGAAATGCAGGTAACTGTCGGGCCGAATACTCATTTTCGACCATCAAACCATCACATCCCATGACTTCAACGCCATCTTATAATTTTCTCGTTTGACAGAAGCGGCCAACTAAGGAATTCTCCGGGGGTTGGAGAATGCGTCTTTCTCTTGCTCAGGCGTTATTTGCCTCTCCCGATCTACTGCTTCTGGATGAGCCTACCAACATGCTTGACATGCGTGCACTCATTTGGTTAGAAGGTTATCTACGAGTTAGTGTACCATTATTTCTTCCTGTGCTTTTTGTTGTAAATTAAATATTCGATTCACTCCATTCATGCGGCTACATCGTTACGCTACACTTAGTCATTGTTGCTTGCACCGTAACCGCTTGACGTCAGCGCATTTGCATGCACTGGCATAATCTGAACACCTTTTGATATAAAAAGGGTTCGGTATCATCACTATCGTATGCGTTCCGTTGATTTTCATTGGATCTAGGGTTTGCTGTAGTTGTGATATGGCTGCCGAATTAAACATCTACTTTGTATATCGATCTGTTATATTTATCAATATTTTGTGCTTGCAATTTTGATGAGCCCAACGCAACGCCAACATTAGTGACCCCAACTCCGTCGCAACGAGACTGGACCTTAACGTGCTGCGACGGTTCGCGTACCTCATTGACCCATTGAGCTATACTGGGTGACGCCTCCGGGCACCTTGAGAGCTGCTCCTACCATGTTAGTCAATGGTGAGAGGTCAGACAAACTCAGTCTCCTGGTCCTCTAGGTTAGGGTTTGAAATGGATGGCGTCCATTTCTGTAAAACTAAATTATTGCCACCTCCCCGCTGCCTTGCGGACAGGCTTTTGAGCCAAAGGCTTCGGATGAGGACCCTAATCGTCCTCCTGTCTAGGTTAGGGTCCTATGATAAAACCTAACCAAACACTCTTACCAAAAAATTACCCCCCTACCTTCAACTTTCCAACTTCCTGTATCTCTGCTCATCACATTTTCTCCAACATGCTTCACTCCCGTATTCTTATAACCTCCCCCCCATGACATTTGCATATTTCACCAACAATCCATAATCCAAAAAATAAAATCACCAACTCCTCCCCAACCACCATAACAAACAACTAAATCCCTAACCAATACATCCCCCTCCTATCCTGTTATAATACCCAACATCCTCACCCCCACCGTCCCCTACTTCCTCACACCTTCCAACAAATACACCCTTCCCTCACACCGAAACCCATTTCCCAACCCTAATCCCACACCTCCCCCCCTTACCCCTTCCATCCAATTATCCAATGGCCACAATTTATTATAAGATAGCTGTATATTGTAACCGAAATTTATTCTCTAATTCCAACCTTTGATCTATTCATTAACATCCCCTCCAAATACTACTCGATACATCGATGCACTCAACCATATACGCCTATCATCAACACGTTACATATTTTAATTAAACCCCACACTCACCCCCATTCATATCCAACGAGGTATTATAATATGTTTTTTTTTCTGTGTTGTTTGTGTTTTCACACAACACACACACAAAAACACTTTTTTTGTGTGTGTGTGTGTGTGTGTTGTTCTTTGTGTGGTGGGGGGGGGTGTGTGTTTTCCCCCCCCCCCCAATCACTTTTTGCTACCGGTGAACAGCCGTTTATGTGCAGTCCCTTTGACGACATCAGCTAAGGTTGATTCACGAAGTAATACAAAACGCTGTTTGTTTGTGATTTCCGCTTGTGCTCTCACCGACTGCAGTTCTAGTGCTGTCAAAGACATTCTATCACGAACTGAAGGCGCTACTACGCAGGTCTACTAGTCCAGATATTATAGTAATTGCAAGGGATATGAACGCACAAATGGGGCGTCTGAGCTCGTCAGAAGCTAAGCTGGGTGGTAATTGTGGGCTTAACTCCGAACGGGCTGACAACGGTGAGCGTCTGCTATAACTATGTGCGAAGCACCAGTTGTTTCTTAGTAGCACTGCTTTTAGACACATTGGGCGCCGAAGTGCCACTTGGCGTCCTCCTGTAGCTGGCCAGCGATGGACCCAAATTGACCACATAGCCATAAGTTACAGATGGCGTGGTTCCATCCTGGATTGCCGCTCATACTGGAGTACCTGTGTCGACTCCGATCATGCCTTGGTACGCTGTCGTTTCTCCATGAACTTTACCGGGAGGCGCACCAAGCGTCCTCTACGACTGGCAACGGAGAAATTGTCTCAGTCCTCGGTCAGCCAAGCCTTTCAAGAAGCACTGCATACCGAACTTCCGCTTTCTTGTCCTAATGACACTGAGCTTCAGTGGAATAGGATCTCAGCCGCCATGCACGACGCAGGAGCATCTGCTTGTGGCACTATCCATCGTCACCGCACCAGTCACTGGATATCCGAGAGGTCCGTGAACCTGTTGGAATCTAGAAGACACCTCCCGACTGGTTCCGAACACAATGTGACCAGACGGGCTATTAGGTGTGAACTAAAACAGAGCCTACGTGCTGACAAGGAAGCCTGGTGGACCAGTAGGGCTCAAGAAATGGAGGAGGCAGCGGCAGTAGGCAATTACCGCAAGATCTTCCAGCTAATCCGCACCACTGGTCCCAGAAAACCAGGCGTCAGTGAGGCAATCAGAGACATCGCGGGTGCGGTGATACACAATAAGGAGCGCCGTATGGCTCATTGGGCGGAACACTTTCAAGATCAGTTCAGCTGGCCCCTTGCTCCCGGACCTGTTCCTACCTAGGTGATGCAGGACGAACCATGGACGGTTAGTTTAGAGCCTCCGTCGGATGCCGAGGTCCGAAACGCGATCACAGCCCTTAATCGTTTTCGTGCCGCTGGCCCGCATTCCCTCTCACCTGCACTATTTAAGGATGGAGGTGAGGTCCTCTGCAAAGCACTGACCTCCTTATTCGAATATATCTGGAAGGAAGTGTCCCGGCTAATTGGAGCGAATCAATTATAGTGGCACTATACAAGAAGGGCAGTCGCACAGACTGTTCTAACCACAGAGGTATTAGCCTAACGCCAGTTGTGACAAAATTATTGGCCTTGATTATCGTTCGTCGCCTCACTGCGGAACGGGAATCTCGGATTAGGGTAGAGCAGGCCGGTTTCCGCCCAGGACGTGGCTGTATAGACCATATATTCACTTTGCGGCAGGTGCTAGAGCAGCGCCACGCATACCGCAGACCGACAATAGCTGTGTTCTTCGATTTCAAGAGTGCGTTCGATTCAGTCAATTGATCGATTCTGTTCGAAATATTTGCTCGGAAAGGTGTTCCCACGAAACAGGTGAACATCCTTCGTGCTCTATACTCGAACACTACAAGCCTGTTCAGGGTCTACGGTGTCCTATCGGATAGCTTTCCGACCACAAGTGGCGTTCGTCAAGGTTGTCCGATTTCCCCGTTTTTGTTCAATTTCGTCGTGAATTCTATTATGGAGTGTTCCCTTGCGGAATCTCACGATGTAGGCGTTGAAGTGCTGCCAAGCGGAAGGTTAGTTGACCAAGACTAGGCGCACGATATTGTCTTGATTTTCGACCATGTTGCGACGGCACAATCAACCCTGAATAGCCTGTCCAGAGTGGTCCCATTATTTCGTACGTACTTCGCACCTTCAAAATGCAAAGTGTTGCTGCAGGACCACCAGCCACTTTATGATCCCTTGACGCTTGCTGACGAGGAACTCGAGGTGGTTGATCATTTCACTTATTTTGGCAGCTGCATCAGCAATGATGGGCGCATAGAAACTGACGTCAGCTCACGCATTGCAAAAGCCAGAGCTGCCTTCTTGAACCTGCGGCATCTTTGGCGACAGAAGGGAATTTTCCTCCATCTGAAAGGCTGGGTATACAGGGCCACAGTGAGGGCCGTTCTGCTCTATGGTAGTGAGACTTGCCTCCTTCGGTCTGAAGATCTGAAGCGCCTTCAATTCTTTAATCATCGTTGTCTGCGAAGCATTGCCGGGGTCGGTTGGCAACAGCGTGTCCGCAACGATGATGTGCGTAGGCGAGTATTAGGTGGTAATAATCATGCTAGCTCCCTAGAACAACAGATAGCACTGAATAAGTTGCGTTGGCTCGGGCACGTGCTACGTATGCCTGGTCACCGCTTACCTAGGAGGTCCTTGTTTAGTCTGCCAGGTGTAGGGTGGCGCAAGGCTCGAGGTGAACAGAAGTTGACTTGGCAGCGGGAAATGAAGTCACTGACGAGCAAACTGGGTGCCGTTGGTCCGTCTCGCCTTCCGGGCTGGAGTCCACGTGACTCGCCTTGTGCTTGGCTCGAGACTTTACAGGACATGACTCGCAACCGACACCAGTGGCGCGTCTGCTGCTGTTTCCTACTCTGATTACCTGTTTAAAGTGTGTTTGGTGCTGAGTTTTCTGCGGGGTAATGGCTGATTATGACGCGCGGCAGTGAAAGCAGCAAGGATACTGTCTCGCCGATGCCGCTTTATCTTTGCACAATAGCCAGCTATTTGTGACGGTATGTTGTCTACACAAGGTGTAGGCGCCTTGACCCTGAATGTTTGTTTAGGGCCCTAAGATTTTCAGGTAAGTCCCTCTTCTCTCCCTCTTATTCTTTATTTCATAGGTCCACATGGTTGTATGGCATCGAAGCATCAGTTCAAATGGCTGATGTACTGCTGTTGCTGATGATTATGATGACCCCAACTCCCTTTGTAGAGGCCTCATTGTTCCACGAAACTTCGCGCCGGACGCCTTTTCCCGTTCTCACATTTTGCCAGTCGTGTTACTGCGCAACCGTTATCGGTGGCCGCTTTAACATCATCATCATTATTATTATTATCATCATCATCGGTTTTAGTATTAAGGATATGGCAGGGTTCTCATTGACAGTCTTAACTAGCTGCCCGTAATTTACAGGCTTGTTGTTGTCTAGGAAGTTTTGAACCACTGCAGCGAAACTGTTCCAAGTATCATTCTCCTTAATATTCAGCTTCTCTACGAATTCGGCACATTCTACTAGTTTTATCTACAGTTCATCGAAGATAGCGGCTTTGACCTTAGCCTCTGATAGCTGTGGAATGAGAACTTGTAGGTACTTGGAAGCTGTCCACTCCTAGTCTAGAGCCCCGTAAAGTTGTTTCATATAGCCTAACTTGATGTGCACTTTTGGCATCAGAACCTTATGAGGGTCTATCAGCGGCTGCCATTTGGCGTTGTTGCCCCCCGCTGAGAATTCTGTTCGCTGTGGACAATCTCTCCGGTGATAATATGCCT